TGAGAAACATAATTGAAGTGGAAAGCCCAGAGCAAGTGTCTTGTAGGAAAGCTCCCAGCTGGACAAGGTCAGAGGCACTCACTCCACCCACGGTATGCCGGAAGCTGGGGGAGGTGAGCTTTCATTTAAAAGAGAACACAAAATTTCTATGCCAGACATGGCAGAGTAGCAAGCTTTGTGTGTTCTGTGTAAATAGTAATTGAGTGTCTACCATTCAAAAGAAATAAGTCATATTTGGGGGGACTCAGACTCCGGAGGCAAAAGATCCAGGGCAACTCTTTCCAGCAAGAAGCTCAGGAGAATGTGGGAGGCTTGGATGGAAGAAGTTTCATCCCCTGCTGAGAGGTCAGAGAGCAGAAAGGCAGAGAAAAGAACAGGAGGTACTCTAGTGAATGTATTACTAGCCTCATTCCTTGCCCAAAAGTCATCCATGGATTTTATTACACAAGACAGCTACAATGGGAGGATGATAAGCAAACAGCAGACTCTGAATGATAAGAATTTAGAAGCACAGCCATTCATCACTTAATGACAGACATATGTTCTGAGAAATGCGTTGTTAGGCAGTTTTGTGGTTCTGCAAGCCTCATAGAGAGCACAACTCAGAGGTCAGAGCCTGCTGCATACCTCGGCTGTGAGGTACAGCCTACTCCTCAGCCGCAAATCAGGCAGCTAGTTACTATGCTGAAATGAACAGAGCTAAGCAGGAAACATACAGTAAAAATTCCAGGTGGGCAGAATTTTTCAGCTCCATTTACAATCTTATGAGACCACCACTATATATATGTTCTTCATTGACTAAAATGTCATTGTTCAGCATACGGTCCTTAGGGACAGTCACCTTTGGATTTTATTTTCAAAGATGAAAACAGTGACACAAAATGGAAATGGAAATGAGCCATACCCCTTATTCATATTCAGGACAGAATCTAGAAAGATAATTGTAACTTTATTCCTTCCCTACCCCTCCGTTTTCCATGTTGGACCAGGATGGAATGCCTTTCTGCATTGTGCCCCCACCCTAACCCGTCACATGTACATTGGATCCCTAGGTAACCTGACACCAAAATTCACCTTCCAGTTGAAGCTGAAATGCTTCCCCCTCCCTGGGAACCAAAAAGCTGCTCAGGGCTGAAGTTTCCTTCTCTTTGGTATTTATAGTTGTTGAGCCGTTAGCGCCCCCTCAATACCACCAGGTTTATTGGGGGAACAGCTGTGAGAAAGTCCTGACAAACAGACAAGAAGCAAAGTACTGTGGGCCCAGCAGGTGGCAAACCTGTGGTACGTGTGCCGCTGCAGGCACGCAGAACCCTCTCTGCTGCACACAGGCCAAGTCACCCGAGGACCCGAGTGCTGCGTGTGCTGTTCTCTAACGAAGTATAAGAGCCCAGATCTGGCAAGTTACCAGCATGCATACAGCAGCAAAGATCACCTTAATCATACAAAAGCACAAATACAAACTTTTTCCTATCAATAAAAAGCTGTTTGCATCATGGAAAGCTCTGTTATCGTGATTTTCTCTTAAAGCAAAAGATGTTAATCTCTGAGAGACCTGTCTGCACCCAGTGCCTAGGCGGTGCACTGCCAGCCCTGCTCACTATCCAGAGCACTGTGAGACTCTGGGGGAGGCGGCACGCCTACCCTGGAGGGGTGCAGAGGAAGCAAATTCTCTGCAGGCTGTGTGGCCCTGGTGGCAGCCTTGAAAGCCGAGGCCTCAGTGGCCTGGCTTCTCGCCCCAGCCTTGGGCACGTGTCTGGCCTGGGGCTTCTCGGACTCCGGGCCAGTGTTCTCATCTCGGAGCCAGGAAGACAGTACCGCCTCTCGTCTCTAGAGGTTGAAGTGAAGCCACAGCGAGCCTGTCGGAGAGATTGTCTGTCATGTCCCAGCAGTGTGTGCCTGCAAGATGGTGAGCAGCCCTAGTTTAGTATTCAGTGTGTGGCTGTGAACTTTGGATTTGCCCCTATTAGACCAATGCAGAAAGATCCTTTCAGGTCCTTACAGGGACTTTCTTCTCTGACAATAGAGCCTGTTGTCAGAGCTTAATGGAGTAAATCGCAAGTCTTTCCCTTGCTGCCTGTGTGAATTTGCAGAGATTATACAACCAAACTGAATTCCAAGCTTCTCATCTGTGAAATGAGAATAATAGTACAGACTTCATCAGGTGGTTCTGAGGCTTAAAGGAGATAGTTTGTCCTGAATAAGCCAGTGCATGTTGGAAACCCTAGTGACTTGGGAGACTGAGCGAGGCAGAAGGATCGCAGGTTCAAGCCAGCCTAGGCAATTTGTCATGACCCTGTGTCACAATAAAAACTAAATAATAAATTTAAAGGAAAGGTTGAGGATATAGCTCAGGGTAGAATGGTCCTGGGCTCAAAACCGAGAGAGAGAGAGAGAGAGGAGAATGAACATGAATGAATGAATCTGGAATGAATGCCTGGTGCACACACAGTGGCTACTTTATTATTTGGCACTATTGGGACCAGGCTAATAGCCCTGAAGAATTCAGAGAATCAGTACAAGGCTCTTCCTAGGCCATTTTTTGTGGCTGTTTATAATGTAGTTAAGTCACTTTGACTCACATTGAGCATAAGATGGTTGGAAGAGGACTGGTCTATCCTACTTTTCCATGTGGTGGACAGTACAGAAGATTGGAACTGAAGGAATTCTTTATTACTGTCTTGTCTTTTAAGATACTGACATATTATTTAGGCTCACCAAGGAAGGGATTTCTGACATACTGTACCATGGACGAAACTTGAGGATGTTTTGTTAAATGAAATAAGCCAAACACAAAAGGGCAAATACTGCATGATTCCACTTATCTGAAGTATCAAAAGTAGTCGGATTTATAGAAACAGAAAGTAGAACAGTGGTTGCCAGGGGTGGGGACGGAAGAAGAACGAGGAGTTGTACAGTGGTACGGCGTTTCAGTTTTCCAAGATGAAAGGAATTCTGAAGATTAGTTGTACAGTGTCAGTGTACTTAACCCAACTGAATTGTACATTTAAAAACTGTTAAGATGGTATATAGCAGTTGTGTGTATTTTATCATAATTTTAAAAATACTTATTGAGCATGTACCAAGGGTCAGGTAACATACCACGTGCAAAGATAGTCAATGTGTGTGAAATAAACCTAACTCTGGTCTCCCCAGTGCAATTCAGGGCCAAGAGAGGAGGCACACGTTAAACAGGTAGTCATAGTGAGGGCAGCGGGCAGCTGACACAAGGCTCCCACAGAGACGCTCATGGCATTCTGAGTACAAGGACTGACCCAGCGAGGCATGCCAGGCCAGGCCAAGAGCCACGCTGAGCAGGGGAAGAGGCAGCCACTCTAGGAAGGGCCCAGCATGTGCGGAGTGCAACTCGGAGAGGCCAGTGTGGCCAGGGCATAGAGGAGGCAGAAAGGGTACTGTGAGAAAGCTTGGTAAAGACGGCAAGGCCTGGGCTTCAGGCCTTCTTGTTTTCACAGATTAGTTTTTGTCTATCTTCCTGAGCAGAGGGCAAATCCATATGGGTTCTGAGCTGAAGGTAGGGACACGGAAGAGCAGGTTCTTGCTTTGAAAAAAATCAATCTGAGGGAGTATTTGTTCTTACAAGGAAGAATCTTATCAAATACTAAGTTTTATTTCAATCGGTCCTGCCCAGATATTTGCTGGGCCCTAGCAAGAGTACATATGGATGCCCACATTCCATAAGTTTAAATAGTTACAGGTCACAATCAGGCTACCAACCCACTATCATCATGTTCCATCCTCCTACCTTGAAAACATCTCTGCAAGTAAAATGTCAAAGAAAGATGCATGTGCAACTGTAGTTTTCATATCACTAAGAGTCAACAAAGAATCGAAGAGGATTCAATGTGACTCTAATAGTACAGTCTTAGTGTTCTGTTGGTTCAAGAAGTGGATGAGTAAAACATTCTTATGGTTAATCATTTCCTGTAACATTTTTTGCCTTTATTGTAGCAAAATCACTGATTATGTTGTTCTAGTTAAATTTTTCACATAATTTGTGTTCTTTTGACAGAAATATTGAGTTGGACAACTTTTTGTAACAGTTTATTGGAATATGAGTCACCTACTATAAAGTGTATCTGTTTAAAATGTACAGCTTGAGTCATTCTGGTTCTGAAATGGTTTCCTCTTCATTTCACTTGAAGGAACTCGCCCTGTTGATGCCATATCAACTTGAACTCTTAATAAAGTCTTAAAGCAAGACTTAGACTTGGAAATGAATCATTAGTAGAACCCATGCTCAAGCTATGTAATGAGACCTCATGATTAATTACATTTATCAAAGAAAATATTAGAAAATAGTTCAATTGGGTTATATAAATTTCTCTACTTACAGTATATTGGAACTTCTGTGATCTTCTCAAGCAATCGCTCAATCTGATATAAATGTGGAGTCTTGGTAGCATGTTTTTTACATACTGTATTATGTCTGGAGCTCTATGCACATTTAGGAGCAATGGGAATGATTTAATACTGTATCCTGTGCTTTGGCTGCCATGGGCAGGGTTGTGAGTGTTGAGGTGCTCCTGATCTACAAATTGGAACACGAAGAGAAGCGAGCGTATACACACTCAGCACAACAGGGCAACGGTGGTTCACTGTGCAGGGGTCAGCTGTATCCTCGCATCTGAAAGGCATGAGCTGACAAGATGATTGGCCTCTTCTCTTCGGCAAGTGTTTCTGCCGCTCACATCCTCCCTGTACGCTAAAGCAGCCACGGCCCTACCCCTGTCAGTATTAGCAGTAGCAAAGCCCTCAACAGTTCACGGCATTCAGACAGAGCTGTCTGTTGTTTCAAGGACTTGTGGCAAGGAACACGGGAAGGCATTTCCCTCTGCTTCAACCGCACGCTCCTGGAGCATTTGGCAGGCCCCTGCCGCTTCCGTCCCATCACCTCATTCATTGTGGTATAGACTAATACTGCCAGGAGTCCTGGCTTTCTAACGTGTGTTTGAAGTCTGCTGACAGGGTTTTTTGTTTTATAGGAACTGGCGAAAGTGGCAAGAGCACGTTCATCAAGCAAATGAGGATCATCCACGGGTCTGGGTACAACGACGAAGACAGAAGGGGCTTCACGAAGCTGGTCTACCAAAACATATTCACTGCCGTGCAAGCCATGATCAGAGCGATGGACACCCTGAGGATCCAGTATGCGTGCGAGCGGAATGAGGTAAAGTGTGTGGGGTATGGGCTCCATCCGGGAAGGCACGCCTTCGTAGTCTAGCTAGTGAATGTCTCGGAACAAAAAGATGTAGAGTGCTTTTGGTCAGATGCTAGAGTAGGCGCTTCAGCTGCAGCTCTGGACAGCAGATCCTTGAGAGGAGTAGGATGGGTTTAGTTAGCCCCGTGATTGTGTTTCTGCAGAAAACGGGGTTGTAGTGTGCTACCGCACTACCAGGGTGTGGTGGTGTGCAGGGACTGAAGTTTAGGGACTTACTGAGGTTGCTTGTTTCAGGCAATGGAAAAAAGCCGTACACATTTTTCTCTTTCAGCCTAGAGACACAGTTTATTTCTTCAGTGGAGCAATGTAGATGTTGGGCTTATAATGGCCAGGTTTTCAAGAATTCCCATTCTTAAGAAATATTTTCACTAATGTCTTCAGACTGCTTGGAGAAGTCAGTAAGGTTTGTTTGTTTGTGTTGGGAGCTGGCCCTTCCTGGGAACTAAGCAATAGTTTATGGGAGCAGTGCTGCAATTCCAGCTAGCAAAGTGCTCTCCTGAAGTGATGGTGTCAAGCTGGCATTTGCTTTCCTGTTGCCACTGGTTATTAAAAATACAAACCTATTTAAGGCCAGAGGAAAATAATGAAAGGGGAGAGTGGGAGGAGAAGGCAAATAAAATTTCACATGGTTATATTGGAATGCAAATCCCCAGGAAATTAATATTGCATCTCAGTGCATCAAGCATCTAAATTAGAACTATGAGTTTATTTAAAATAATTGACACCAAGTTATGCTATGATGTGATGATAAGGAGGAAAAGTTTGTGTCTCTCATGGGCATATTTAAAAAATTTAGCTGCTAAATGCCAGTGTTGCGTAGGTTTTAATATGGACAACTTTATCCTAAATTTGTAGCCCCTATACTCATGTGTATTTAGACAAAGGGTTTCAAAGCAATCAAATGTTTAATTTTTTTTAATTCCTTGGTGATGGGCTTATTGGAAAAACAATGTGTGAAATATTTTAGACATATTTTTACATTCTTTTCAACTTCTTATCTTTACCATCATTTCCTTACAGTCTCAAGGTCATGTACAGGAATGCATCTTGCCTATAGTTTTAACCTTCAGCAGAGTAAGAGCTCAGAGGATGAATTAGAATATAGTATATCTGGTCCCAGGTAATGTGAAGGGTGCATACTGAACCATTGGGAGATTCTAAAAGTAACTGTGATGACTTCTTTATCCATTGCTCTTGAGTACAGGCATTATCTTTTTAAAAGCATACAATTACTTACCCTGTGTGACAGATTCCACGAGTTAAGCTTTCTGTGTGTATTTAAGATTATTTCAGAAAAGGAGCATGGCAGGAACATCTTTCTTGTGCTTTCAGTTCTGTTTGCCCCTGTTGTTAGATGTATTTTGTTTACAGTCACAGTGAGGTGACTGAGTGAAGCCAGAGCTGCATTTGGAACCAGAACTATAGGGAGGGAAAAGCTGTAGTGGAAGCCATTTCTGCTCACCCTGAAATTTGTGTTTGTAAAACCTAGTAAGGTTTATAAAAAACCCACATCTTCTTTATCCAGTTTCCAGTTGATGGGCACTTGGGCTGTTTCCAAGTTTTAGCTATTACAAACTGTGCTGCTATAAACATGGGTGCACATATATCGCTGTGGTATGATTCTTTTAATTCTTTGGGGAAGATACCCAGTAGGGGAATAGCTGGGTCAAATGGGACCTCCAGCCTATAAGGATTAAAAGGATTAATAACTAACAATTGATACTTTGAAATAGGAAAAGGCCCAAAGGGGTAGGGGTGGTGGGAGGAGATGGGGAAAGGGAAGAATGGAAAGGAAAAATTATGAGAGGAGAAAACAACAACAACAACAACAAAAAAGTCTATGTAAATAGGGAAGGGAGCACAGGGAATGGGGAAAAAATAAGAACCAAGATACATCATGTACAGGTACAGGCACCCAATGATAAATGTAAACGTATTGTATACCTAAAGTGTGCCAATAAAAGAATTTAAGCAAAAAAAACCACCCCAAAACCAAAAACAAAAAACCTAATCAGGTTTAGTAATCAAGGCCTCTGGGTTTCTGTTTTTGTTTTGTTTTTCTTCACAGCCTTCTAGAAGTGCTCTGAGTTTATATTTTAGACAAAAATATGTGTGGTTTGACATTCCACCACTTTCTCTTTTTCTTGTGGTCCTAATTCTTTTATATGAGCCATCTCCAGTTGTCCACAAATCTGCATTAGATTCCTAGGATGACTATTACAAAGTACCTCAGACTTGATGGCTTAAAACACAAACTTATTTCCATACCAGGCTAGTTGCCAACACTCAAAAATCAAGATTGATTGGTTCCAGCCAAAGGCTCTGAGAGAGAATCTGTTCCCCACTTCTCTCTTAGATTCTGGGGCTTGGTAGAAATTTTGCTGGCTTGTAGACTTGCCTTCCCAGTCTCTGCTCCTGTCTTCACATAGCATTTTCCTGTGTGTGTGTCTGTGTTTACACGGTGTTGTCCTCTCTGTGTCTTTATTCAAATTTCCTTCTTCAGTAGGGACACCAGTCATTAGACTGGCGTCCACATTCATCCAGGATGACATTATCTTAACTTGATTACACGTACAAAAACCCTGTTTCCAAATAAGATTACTGTCCGAAGTTCCAGGTAGGTTTGAATTTTGGGGACAACACTGTTTAACCCAGTATGTCTGCCCTCTGGCTCCCTGAGATTCATACTCAAATACATCCACTCCATCTCAACATCCCTGAAAGCCTGAGCCCATTCCAGCACCAACTCTAAGTCCCAAATCTAATTTAAATATCAACTCAAAAAGTCTCAAATCCAGTTGTCTAAGTCAGGTATGGCTATGATCCATTCCGGGCAGGATTCTTCTCCGTCCACAACCTGTGAAAGTAGGCAACAAGTCAACTGTTGCTTCCGTGTGTTCTCCATCTGCCGCATCTGGCTCAGTCTCAGTACCTTCTTCCCTTTCACTTTAGGTATTTAGATTCCTGCTCCATAAACTTTCTCTCGTCCTTCAAACATATGCCTGGGGTGAACTAAATACTGGAATGGCTTATGGAGAAGCAGACAACTGAGGGAAAAAAAGTACTGGATTTGCTTTCAAAAATCTGCTCATAGCTCCCCAAAGGCGCCAACCCAATTTCTTATAAAGGGCCAGAGATTAAATGTTTTTCGCTTTATGGGCTATTTGGTCTGTGTCTCAACTAGTCAGCTCTGCTTTTGTAGCATAGAAAGCAACATAGGTTACACATATGAACATAGCTCACCTATAAACTCCATTTAAAACGTACAAGAAAGACTTCTAGCTCATGGGCCACATAAAATCTACTCAGGGGGCCGAGGATTTAGCTCAGTGGTTCCGCCACCTGCCTCACGAGTGCAAGGTCCCGAGTTTGATTCCCAACACCCCCCCAAAAGAAAAAATTCTACTCAGGCCATAAGTGGATTTGGTCTATGGGCTGTAGACTGCCAACCCTGGTCCTAGGGGAAGCTATTTTTCCCTTTCCTCATCTGTTAAACATAGCTACCACATGCCCTGAGTCCTTCATAAGTCAACATGAGCAAAAGGAATTGCTTTACATACTAGATGGCACCTAAGAAATATTAAGTTATTATTGGGCAAGTTCAAAAACCAAAAGTGAACTCAGTGTTTCTTCTGTTTAGGTCATTTACATCTGTTTCTTCTCTATTGTTTCTTAGAGTTTCTTATTAATTTAAGGATTACCTCTATAAGGTCATCCTGATTCCAAATATGAAACTTCAACAAAGTACTGTGCTTAGGTTATAAAATAATAAAATTATTAATGTTCCAATATATTAAGTCATTAGTTTAAACAGGCTATATGTTAGCTTCTTTACAAAGTACCATATAATTTGAACAATTAATTAAGATGGGGATGAACAAAAAACCTTAATCAATTTATATTTCACAGTAGTGAAATCCTCTCACTTATTGCTGAGAATTTATTTTTATTATCTGTTTTCTGATGGATATATTTTTTTCGTAACTAGGAACACTTTCTTAAAAGTACATAGAAGAGGGCCGGGGATTTAGCTCAGTGGCACCGCACCTGCCTTGCAGGCGCAAGGTCCTGAGTTCAATCCCTGGTACCAAAAAAAAAAGTATATAGAAGAGAAGAGACTTCAAAGTTATTTTAGAGGGTTTTATTTTAAAATGTTAATTAGACCATTGTTCAGCTATGTAGTTGAAATCTTTGTCTATTACTTGAGAGATTGCTTATTAAAGAATATTTATTGGGAATTTCAGTATTTGGCTTTTAACCAACATATTTTTTCAACTGAGATATAGTGTTGCTTATTTTCTTTCACTTTGCCTACTTTTTTTTTTATATAAAGAAATGATTCACCTACGTTTGCTCACTCTGTTGAGAGGCCTTAATTTTTATAAATGTCTCTCAAGAGTGTTTTATGATCACATACTGGAATTTATGACTTCTTGAAAAAATATTACAGAGGCATTTGTTCAGCAGCAGAACTCAAGTTTGAGTTCACTAATGATTCATGTTTACTTGTAGTTTCTCTGATGCCAGAAGAGCCTCTTGTTTTGTGCTGCTGTGGCATCTTAGACTCGAAACATCCTCTTAAGAGGCTGTCCTGCACTAAGGCAATACTGTGGTCCCCTTCCAGGTCCTGCAGAATCAGCTTGAATGATTTAGATACATAGTCTTAGCCCTACCTGCCTTCTCAAAACTCTTTCAGTTCGTATAAAATGATTGCTAGAACAAAAAAGCCCTACTGGGCTTTCTGGAAGCCAATCTTAGCATTTCGGAGCTCGTTACTATGCTATGTTGCCAGATTCGCGTGTAATTTACATAAATTTAATTACAAGAGCTTATCAAAATGAAATAAAAACAAAAATATTTAAAAAGAATTAATAATCCAGGAATCAGAGGGTTATTTTGCCTGTCATCCCATTCGAGGTACACAATTCCGAACACAATGTGGGTCTGGA